CTGCCTAATGGAGTAGAAAACGACGTGTCTGGATCTTCGATGAAAGATGATGTGTTTATATCAAATTGCTCCCCTGGCTCATGTCCATGTTGAGGATGATAAACATCGGGACCATTCCCAACCGACCATCCATCTTCTATTCCTATATGAGTTCCACTAAACAATTTTTCCAAGAGATCTTTATATGCCAAAGGTTTCTTACGAAATCTTTTAGCCACCTCGTTTTCCTAACAATTTAAAAAAAAAAGTTAATATATATATATATATGCTAACATTTCAAATTTTAAAATTTGAAAAATATTAATAGACTTACTTGAATTCGATCATTCCACCATTCTTTTTCCATGATGATTATTCCCGTGTTATGATCAATAGCTACTCCAGTGAATTTGCATAGACGGTTGTAACAATCGTACCAAGTTTTTAGATTATGATGATGATTTGCAAAAATTTTCCATGTCAAATCAAGCCCAGTAGCTTCTTTAAAGCTAGTCCTCACACTTAATTTACCTTCTTTTGTTAAAAATTTGTCTACCCAATTTTCTTTATCAAGTTGAGCTAAATACAACTCTATGAACAGTAGAGAAATCTCATCAGTCCACTTGATATTAATCTATAGCACAAAATAAATATATCCAAAATAATTTCAAATCTACTTTTAAAATAAGTAAAAAACAATGAAAAAATATATTTACCTCTCTTTGAGAAAAGGATGATGCACCACCATTGTTCGCTGCACTGTTAGTTGCCATATCTATAAAACATATAAATCGATGTTTTAAATTTAGCCTACATAACAATCGTAATAATAAAATTTATACAACATGTTTTATACATAGGAGAAAGATTTAAACAATACGAACATATTTTCTACATAAAAAAAAGATGTGTCAAAAAGTTGATATACACACATACATAGGAGAGAGGTGTCAGACACTTTTATTAATAAAACAAGTATGTGGACGAGATTAAAGATGGACATGCTCTTGAATACAAACATTACTTATACAACACATATACAGAGAAAGGTGAAAGGATGTTAC